GAAGACGAAAACAGGAGAAATGGTTGTAAATAATATAAAAATGTGAAGGAAAAACTGAGAAGATTTTCTTCCCGACTTTTCTCTCAGACGCATAAAAAACTTTCTCGGGTCGTGCGAATGAGAAGGCAACACAAAAGGAACGGAAAACCAAGCAATCCCAGTCCCATCACATGAATAATTTTCTAATTTATCAAATCGAATAAAAATTTTCATATCGTTGATGTCCCGTCGAGCGACTTTCGTTCACTTTCGGTTCGAAATTTTTCTTCGCTGCATTTTTCTTATTTTCAGTTGTAAATTGATTTTCTCATTTCTTATTCTTTTGAAAGGGCTTTGAAAACAATTTATTTGAGCATAAAGTGATTTAAGGAATGTTGTTTAACGACTTTTCTACTCTGCTGGAAATTCTTTAACTTTAAATTGACCCTCTCAATTTATTTCATTATTTTTGATTACTACTTGAACGAGAAAACCCAAAACGTAATAAATTTCATTTTCGCCTTTTCCATCAGCTGGGAAATCGGTTTCCCATAAGTCACCGCCATCGTTTGATTTAATTACACTTGAAATAACTTCCTTTCACTCATTTCTTCCGGCAAGGAATTGCGGGAGCTTTTGTATAATACAATTTAGTTAATTTAAAACTTGATAATCGAGTTAAGAAGTTTATATTGAATCTACTTCGCTCTCAAGTTCATTAGTCGTTCCTTTCCATGCCCATTCCAGCAATCATTGCGAGATTATCATTTCAATAGATTTTCCATTTCATAAATTAAAATGCCTTCAATTGGACTCACTTCAATGTTTCATTGTGCCTTCTGATAAGAATCTTTAATTTTCTAGAAAGGTTTTTCCTACGAATACGCAAGATTAGGATGCTGAGTAACAATTTTGAAGACGAGAAAAGAATTCTTATTCTTTCTACGATCATTTCTTTATCACAAATACTTCGTTTTCCCGTTTTTCGTCTCAAGAGGAAGATATTGTCGAAGGTATGCTTATTATAAAAGAAATATGTTTCGTTATCAAGATTTCCTTTGTCGATTTAAAGAAGCAATTTCAATATCACCAAAATATCTTTTCTTTTGTGTTGTTGGGAAAACATTTACCTAGGAATTGATAACAGGAGAAAAGATTGAAAAATGATTGTGAATGTGATACGAAAAGTTTGTGTTCTTTAGAAATGTTGCTAACTGAGATGTTTCTTTATGTAAAATTCTCGATTTTTAAAGCAGGAAAGGAAGGAAAACTTTAAAATTTATGCATGAAATGTCAACTTTATAATGATGGAAATTTCATGCTGAAAATTGAGTCGTTAATATAAGAAACATAATCGGCTTTCAAAAATAAATAGTTTAAAGACTACAATAGTGAAAAAAAATTATTTGCATGACAGAAGAAGCGATAGCATGTTATAAAAATATGGAAAACTTTTATTCCTATTTGATATTAGCTCAGGAACATTCTCAGCTCATAAAAATTTCAGGAAAATTTACTTTTGATGTGGTTTTAATTCTATTTTATTTGTCGGCGGCGTGTCTTGAGTTTAGCGGACGTTTTAATGGTGAAATGAAGAGAGGCTCACGCAAGTTGTATTAGCATAAAAAGTAAATTAGGATCAACATTTGCATACCCAAAAATAGAACCATGACATGGAATGAAAAGAAAAGTTTTCTTCTTTTTAACATTTGTTCCAATTCTATGACCAACTAAATGTGATCGCATCAAATTAAAGCGTCAAGTTCATAAATTTTCCTTCTTTCAAGTCAATCAAAATATTTCAAGTTTCAAAGTCAATTTTTTCTTATAAAAAGCAACCACAAATGCATGTCGAATAAAAAAGCAGCAAATAAATTGTCACAATCGAATTTCGATGGTTTACATTAATTCTCAACTTCCTGCATGAGAAGGCAGAAAGTTTTTGCAGCAACATTTAAAAAGAAATAAATTTCTTGAACAGATTCGAGTCATTGAATTGGCTTAATTACACTTTTGGAGCAAACTAATTTTATAAAGTTTTCCATACGATTTTCCTTTCGCTTTTCTAGTCTCTCTCTTTTACCCGATTGTTAAGGCGGGAAAATAAAAAAGAAGAAACTTTGGTGTCGAAATTTATCGTTATTTTATTCATGAGATTCTATTATTGCGACACTTTAAACAAGAAGGGGAGTGAAATGGAAAGAGTCACAACATTTTCTGATGTTTTATCTCAATCGTTTCATCTTGTAACTTGTTCTTTCTTCAGTTGTTAAAGCTCTTCTCACTCTCAGTTATAAAAACACACGCTTTAATCGTATTTACAATTTAATAATAACTTTTATTGCTGCTCTTTTTCCATTTGCATAATTTAAATCTGCCAAAACATGCATAAAATATTTTCCATTGTCGTGAATAAACACATTTTTCTCTCCATCCAAACGCAAAATATGTTTTCATTCAGCAATGAACCCTTCTCGAGAGGAAGAGTCAGAGAGGGGTAAAAAAACATTAAATATGTTCTTTCAAATGAAAATCATGAGATGAATCATATGAAATTATGATTATTATAACCAATTTCTTCATTGGAAATGATGGCACAGATTATGTTGTGAATATTAACATTGTCGTGGGATCTTTTTTATATTTCTGAAATTTAAAACGATTTAATCAATGAACGGGGAGAAATATCTGCACGGTCAAAACATAAGTTTTTCCTTTAACAATGCAGTAAACATTTTGATGTTGTACAACAATGAATTCCATTCTTCCATCCTCCACATTGGAAGATTCTTAACTAGACTTCTCCTTTTGCGCTTCTTTATTTAATTTATTTTAGATTGTTGCTACGAGTATAAGAATGAAAGCAAAAAAAAAAAGCTGTAGCAGATGAGATAAAATAAATTCAATAAAGAAAAATGTCGAGAAAAGAGAAATAAATAATTCTGTATTGGTTATTCTTTTTCGTTGGCTCCATTGTGTTCTGTCTGCAGCGTGTACGTAATATGTAGCAGGAAGGAAAAAAAGCTTTTTATTGAGACGTCAAAGTGATAAAATAGAATAAACTCAATGTGACTTTGAAATATCTCTAATAGACAAGAAGAAACATTCAGTAACATATAAATAATGCACACACAGTTTGTTGGGTTTTGTAAGGATGTTCAGATGTTACTTTCATCCCTTAGGACTACAAGTAACTCATTTATGTAATAACAGAACAACTTCTTCTGATAATTTATCATGGTAATCTCACACAGCATTAATATCGATCAGTCTCTTGTCATTCTCCTACAACAACCTTCAATACACATAAAAAGCTAACAAGAAATGTCAACAGAACTATCATAGAAAGTCGTCTGAAATCAATATCCTCCGTGTCGTTCAGTCATTTGTTTTAATGATACATGTGACTTCTTATATACTCGACGGTTATTTTTTTTCGCGTGGTCCCATAAATTGACAACTTAATGACTTCACAACACACTAAATGGCAATAATAGTATGTTTCTTTTATATTCGAATGTATAACGAGAACATTCCGTAAATGTGAAAGCTAAAAGCGGCTTGACAGAGGCCTTTATGAATTACAAAACTAATGGACTACTTCATATTTTCCTCGAGTATCGCTATAAGTCGTCAAAGTTAAAGTAAAGCTTTATTTTTATTTAACAGAAATTGTGGCTTTGAGCCTTTTGTTGTTTACTTTCATTCAATAACTCATTCGACGATTGAGGAGCGGTGGAATGTCTCGTGCTTTCTCATTTCTCGGTTTCTCGTTTAGAGAACCTTGGGAAAATAAATAAGGAAATGGAAATTTGATATGATTTCTCGACTTTATTTCTATTAACTCAGGTAACAAGAGGGAAGTTTTCTTTTTCTCTTATCCGAGCTTTTATTCCGTTTGTTAAAGGAAATATAATATCATGAATTAATCTACGATTGTTTTGCACGTTAAAAACGCATAAATTAGATAGTTTCACTTTAATTCAATGTAGCGTTTATTGATTTTCTACACAAACGAGTTGCTGCTGACTAAATTGTGCCATCAAGTGCTTCTGATTTTATTTCAATTCGTTACTTAAACAATCAAACAAGGAAGAAACAAAAGCAAATCAGTTTTATGTGAAAAGATTTTTTTAATTAAAAAGATAAACGTTTTTGAAGCGTCTGTTGTGTTGTTGTTATTCATGCCAATTAATTGAATGCGGGAAAATGTTTGTCTAATTAAATTAGGAGAAAAATCTTTGCTGGACAGAGAAGAATTCAATTTTCCTTTTCCAGTTTTTATTTTAATAGCATTTTAAGTGTGGGTGGACCAAAAGCTTTCAAATTTCCTCTAATTAAGATAAAATGTATTATGACACTTCCACCCTCGGTTAGCAATTCATTTTTGAGCGGAAATTTTGTTGTTATTTCCATCTATCTACATAATTTTTCCCTTTGTATCTTATTTTCACAAGAATTAATTATCTGATGCTTGCAATGCAAAAAAGGAGAAAAAAGAAAATAATTTTCCACCATCCAATGGAACGTGTTGGATGAAAATGATTAACTTTTATTGCTTGACGCTCATACTAATGAGATTGACCAGGTAATTATTTTCATCAGTTATTACTTTAACTTTCCTTCTCTCAAACAAATGGGAGAAGTGAAAGCGTTGTCAGGAAGTCAGTTAATTAATTTCACTCTTGTAAGAATGCTTAACATGAAGAAAAGCGGAGAAAATGATGATAATTTATCCCGAGAATGAGTGTCTTGACATTTAAGGGTGCACAAACTCTGAAATTGATTCAATTAAGTTGGGCAGAGGCCTGATGGTCACGCTATACATATAACAAAAAGGGGTCACAATGCCTGGTCAATAGTTTTGTTAACCTTTTCAACCAAGCAATCTTATGGAGTTTCGAAGACTGAACGAATTGAAACCTTTCAAATGATGACGACACATGTGTTGTTTTATTTCGAAAAATAACTTTTAAATTGATTTTCTTTCGGGATCCCCGATGAGTTTCACAATCCATTCTGAGAAAGCGAAAGGACAATCAAAAAACATTTTTAGAGTCTTTCGATGAAAGAAACCATTTAAATTTCAATTCGACACAATTGTTGTTTCAGTTCGTAAAATAAAGCCGGCAAAAAAGTAATGTCAAGTCGTCAAGCGATTAAGAAATGTCTGAGCTATAAAAAGCAAGCAATAATAATAGTAAAACTAAAACAAATGGCGATTTTCATCGCACATAAAACGCAACACCGACCATCACATTTTGTATGCGTAAAAAAACTAATCAATCTTTTCGTAATCGTAAATTATAGACGAGAACTTATTGTGGCACCCTTTTTTACTACGCTGCTTGTGTATGCTTTGACTACCCGCTCTCACGTGTTAAATAATAATATTATGACCAAATAAAATTAATTTCCACGTCAAAAGTGAAAAAGACCTTCAAGGCAATAACATTAAATAAATTACAGCAGCTTTTTATTATTTACTGCTTACTACTGTTTAGTGTGGGCGGCTGATTGTTAGCATTCCTTCTTTAATACTTCTTTTTTCAATAGAAAGTTTGTTGTGTTAGCGATTTTTTGTCTGAAAAAATAATTACGAAATGAAAAGAATTTTCATCGAGTTATGCTGACGGAAAGTTTGATGAAACTTTTTATGATTTTTAATTTTCTAGCTCTTGAAAACATTTCTCAATATCTTTTCTTCCTTATTTGCCTTTTTTTTTGCTGTGATTTTAAAGTCGGGATTACAGCAAATTAAGCGATAAATTGTGTTTTCTTCACTGAACGTGATTCCATTAACCTTAAAGATAAACCCTTAAGGAATGGAAACATATCAGAAATGGAATTTAAAATTACTTCTTCCTCCACTTGAAAGACATCGAATTCCAAAGCAATCAGAATGGAAGGAATCACCCTCTGTATTTATTCAAATTATAGGTAGGAAAAAAAGGAAAGTAGCGTGAATAAGAGCCAAGAACAACGCTTAACGTAAATCGCAGATGAGCAAATAATTTTCCACTAAATTAAACAAAATTTCAAACATTTACTTTTGAAAGTAGAAACGTAAATGAAATTTACCTTTTTTGAGTGACTTAAGGAACATAAATGCTGAATAACGGTGATGTGAGCATCGTTGACTTCAAGTGCTTACGGCTTTTAAACTCTGAAACCTCAAAAAAAGTTACAAAAAACTTTTATTTCCTTCCGTTTATGTTGAAATGTTTAGGAAAATTCGTTGAAGCCAAAGCAAGTTTGTTATGCAAAATCTTGCATAAGATGAAAACATAATTTACACTCTCATGCTAACTGAATCAATTTATTTATTTATGAAAGCTCTTTTAATTCTGAAGACTATGAAATTAATTTCGTGGGATTTAAATTAATCCACTTCGCTTTATTACTTAATATGAAAAAGGAAAATATTAAAATTATCTCTCGACTTCCACTCCGGAAAAATAAAAATAAAAGGAAAGAAGATGAAGAAGAAGTTCATAATTTTAATTGAAATGGGAAATTATGCTTAAAAAATCTAATTAAAATTCATGACGAAATGAAGTGGTAGAAAGTGTGGGTGGGAGGGAAAATTAAAAAATGATGAAAGCAGATTCAAGTCTTCACATTTTTACTGTTTAAAAAATGCGAAAAAAAAGAATTCATGATGGAGATATGAAGAAAGGGAAGAAAGCAATGAGAATAAAATTGTTGTTTGTTTACTTATGCATTCAGTACTCATTTATTTTGCATATTCTTTTTTTTCTGTTAATGGTATAAAGTACAGAGCCACATTGCATTTATTTATTTATTTATAAAATTATTTAGTAAATGTTGATGTTTATTTGTTCGCTGATATTTTAATTAAATATAAAACGTCATAATGTTAATTAATTTATGTAAAAAAGAATTATTTTCTACTGCTTTCCAAAGAAGACTTTTGATGCGAATATAAAAATGGTTCTGAGTTTGGAAAACTCATTCGTTAAGTCAGTGAAAATTTTCTTTAATTTATTTTAGTTTATGCCAAATTATGTTGTGACTGATTAACTGATGAATTGATTTCTGATCCAAACTTCTTTCCGTATTTCATTACATTTTTTTGATATTTATAAACAGAATCGAAAACAAACAACTTTAATTTAATATTAACTTTAATTAAACAGAAAATTTTCCTTTCGAAACTGCTTTTTACACTCTTTCTAGTTGAATTAATAAATTTAATCTAATAATTGCTAAATATGTTGAAGGAAACTAAATTGAAATTTCGATTCACTCGATTAATAGCAATTTTGCATGAATTATCATATTTCAACACTGAAAGCATTCGCTTAGCGAAATTTTCAATAAAATATTTCGTATCCATATATATTTATATCTTGGTAACGGGATTTTCCATCAACATAAATTTATGCTTTTATGTTACAGAAATCGGAGAGAGAAATGAAAACAAGAAATGTTGGGAAAACTTATTTTAAAACATTATCACATTTAAAAGTTATGAAACAATTTTTGTTATTTTTTAAGTAATGTTAGCGGTTGATGGACGAAGACATTAAACGAAGAAGTTGAAAGGATGAAAACGGAAAACTTCTTAAAAGTCACTCACGTCGCCTTCGGTGTCGGGATAAGTGCAGGTAAATGGATTTCTTAACCACTGACAAAGCGACTTATCTTGTCTATTCTTCTTTTTACTTGCTTTCTGACTTGTTTCCTTTTCTTTCTCCTTTTCCTTTGAGTTTGGATTGGGACGTGACGCTGACGAACTGAAGCTTGATTCGTCGCTATCTCGAACAGTTGCAACGGAATGATAACCGCTTTCAGCTCGTCTTGATATTCCAGAATGCTTTGAAGCTCTCGGCGTTGAATCATGACCACTGTCATAAGCTTCAGGTGTTGAAATTGGTAATAAAGGAAGATGTGGGGGTGGTTTTGTATGCAATAACAGCGGAGTTTTAACAGAGTCATTCAAATCAGTCTCACATAACTCAGCTAAAGGATTCTCTTTGATATGAATTTCAATTTTCTCCTCTGCTTCGCAATTCTCTAAAGACTTTTTAATGTTAGGATCGGAAGCACCATCGGGATGACGTAAAGAAGCATATGGTTCCATTCCAGCTATAGCTACAATTCCATTTAAGCTCGGAAGAGATGTTTGACTAGGCGTTCGACTAATTGATTGTCTACAGTCTCGACATCTAGGACTAGGGGCTCTATAAACTGGTTCACTACATACACTACCGGGACCGGTATTAAAACGAAATGCCGGTTCACTATAAACACTTCCAGAATCTCCAATTCGAAAAGCTGGAATCACTTCAGCCATCGCTAGTTGTGATGTAAAAAGTTCTCGTAATCGTGCAAGTTGATCAAATTGATTTCTATTTAAATTAATTTCACAATAAGCAACAAAGAAAATTTTCAATTAAAGTTTTTTTTGTGTCTCTTACCTTGCAGAATCTCCAATGACACACTCACTGAATGTATCACCAACATTAAAGCTTGAAACAACAGAAATGTCACCATTGCTAAGAGCAGAAAGTGGATGTTCACTGTTAAGATGAGAAATCATATTTCAACATACATAAAAAGAAATCGGTCAAGATGTTTCAAGTTTTCTTACCCTCCCATCGCTTTTGCGATATCGTCTTCGGAAACTTGTAGAGCGCAATCCATCATCATGACGTTTTGACATAAACTCTCTCGTGATACGTGACGTGAAACTTCTCTCGAGCTAAGAGGGTCAATTAAAGGCAATGCGGGTGGACCTTCAGACGGTCCGCTATCTTGATCTTCTTCTTCAACGTCTCCACCGCCTGTTGCTGATTGTCGTGTCTCACTTACATGTGACATTGACTTTTCAGATTGAACATCTTGATCATAATCGGTGGTTTGTTTCAAGCCAGTCTTGATGGAGCTTTCTGAGAAATTAACAGTTCCTGTTGGAATATTCGTTAGACCAGCAGTTAATGGATTGACAAATTCTTCGTTCTTTGAGCTTATTGAACTATGATCATCGTCATTCTTCGGTTGCTGTGATGTTTCAAGCTTCTGTTGTTGATTCTTATAAAATTGATGATATTGAACGGTTGTTGTTGTGGCAGTGTTAGTTCCTGTCGATTGGAAGATTTGTGATGTTTGATTCTCAACCCATTGTCGAATCATTGTCTTCTTATGACTATCCATGTAACCATAACTTGTGCCTTGACTCGTAGTAGGAACTGCAGTTGTTGCTGACTTTATATTAGGCCCATCAATCCACGTTTCACATTGCTTTACGTGATTAATTTCTCGCATTAAATGACGAGCCTCTGCAACCTTAAGTCTCGACACTCTCGGCCCATCAATCCATTTCTCTTCACTCACTCGTTTCGGACTTTCGTGTGTCGTTGTTGATGGATTACGACGAAGTGGTGAATTCTTTGGTGTTGGAAAATTCGAACCTTTACTTACACTTGAATGTTTCAAAGCACCACCAACAATTTTTGTTGTATTTGCAGTAACGACCTGAGCATAAACTGTATGATCATTTAAAGGTTGTGATGATGAATTATCATGTGAAGCTTTTGATTGATTCCTTTTGAGACTATCAGACTTTTGGTGGGATGGACTTTGTATGGCTGTGGAAGTTTAATTAAAATTTTTACATTTTCAAAGTAAGAAGAAACTTTTAACTTACGTTTTTGTGAATTAACTTTTTTAATTGGCGATTTACAAAGAACATTCTTCTCAACGACAGAACCTTTCAACACTTTATTCATGGCACATCGATTATCTCCTGAGTTGAGATTGGGGAGGAAGACGGGCGGATGTTCATTGTCAGTAGCATCGTCAGGGCATGGTCCAACATAAATGACAGTGTCAGCAGAGAAATCAGAACTCGATGGATCGGGACCACTTGAACTGCCTGATTGTAGATTTCCACCACCACCCCCGCTTTTATCTCCCGATAATGGAAAGCGATGCTTTCTTCTTCGCAATCTATGAATACGTGATGCTAATTGAATTGTCGTCAATGAATCTGTGTGAGTCTAAATTGAGATTTGTAAAGAAGAAAAATATTTTCTTTGCTAATTTCCTTTGCTTTTTCATCATTTAAATGTTCAAACCTGTGAATGAGTGACATGAGCGATGATTGCGACGTGACATGTTAATGGTGCTAAGCAGTCTTTCAATAAAGGCGTCAGGGGATGTTCTCGATTTGGTGTGTGGCGTTGTCCACTTAAAATTGATAAAACAACATTTCCAATGCCTGATAATGGCAAACCACCACTTCGATTAGCACACCCTCCTAAGTCAATAAGATGTAAACGACTTCTCCCTCCAGCAACTACACCAAGACATTATTTAATTAAGATTTTATTTACATTTTCATTTGAATGCGAAAGCACTTACCGCCTCCTTTTCCCGCCAAGCTGTATTGATAGACGTGCAGAGTGAAAATTAATGCCGGCTCATAAATGCTACTCGTACGTCCGGCTAATGCAGCGTCTAAAAATAAAGCAGCTCGTTCCGCAGTTGGTGCACGTAATTCGGTTGGACCGCCCAAGAAATCATCTCTTAAATACATCCCAGGAGACTCATCAGATTCTATAACACAAGAAATAATATAAAAGAGTGAAGTTTTTCTTTCAATAAAGGTCGAGAAAATTTATTGATCATAACATCGTTTAGGCGATTTCTTTTTTTCCCTTTTCTTGCTTTCCTTGAAATGACCATTTAATCGTTTTATGTATGAAATGCTGGAGACTTCTTCTGTGCTCTCATAAATTTTTATTCTTCCATCTCCATGCACTTCTTCTTCATTTTATTTTCATTAAAATCAGCCAATGCGTTAAAATTCAAATCACGCAATGCGGAGGAAAAAAGCCATTGCATATAAAAGAAAATATTACGACCATATGAGGCCCATTTTAAATCTGAATTTATTCTTTTCTTATTGCCTTTCGTTGCTTTTATTTGTGAACCCAAACGAATGAGTAAGAAACCTTTTTATTTCGTTTGTGTGTTCAACTCTGTGTTTGTCAACGACAACGATGACGACACACAAAAGGGACATTTTATGAGTGTGGAAATTGTGATCATTGATGCTGTTTTATTTAGAGATATATCTTAGCATTTTCCTAAAGGAAATTCTAATGGAAAATCGAACACTGGTGACGGTGGGTAGGGAAATTGTTGTAGGGAAAGGGGAAAAAAGGAAATAAAAGTTTTTCATTTTTTGATAACATCAGGAAAGGATTTTAAGGCCTTTAAAAAGGAGCTTTGGCTTTGTTGAGTTATTGAGACGAATTCATGGCTTTTTACTGTTTTCTTGTGGAAAAAGAGAAAAGAAAATTTCCTTATTTTGCTGTTTTCTTTGTTATCCTCTTGACCGGTATTTTGTTATTAGGAAAATATTGATGCGGCTTCAGCAAAGATTTTGACATGAATTGTAATGAATAAAAAAGGTTTAAGGATGCTGTTCATGGGCCATGATGATAACTTTGTTGTACAAATTGGATTTGAATACTGAAATAATCTGTCAAGTTCGCGTTGCTTACGTCTTCAATTGAACGAAATTTTCTTCTTTTTTCTTTCGATATTTATTGATTAAACAATTTTTTTATGTTCGACTTGAAAACGAAATGAAAATCTATACAAGTCGTTTTTGTTCATCACTGTTTTCTTGTTAGTCCTAAAGCTAGATTTTGCAATCAAAATAATATTAAATCACGTATTTTATCAATTTTTCTTCGCTCCCAACCTTTTCCATGTATCCGGGTCTGATAAATGTTTTTATTCGTTCGAAGTTCTCGTCTACAATCCCTTCACTACACGATCCCCCACCAATCGTTTCTATTAAGACGAAGAGAAAGTAACATATGTGAATTTCACCCCCGCATTTCTTCTTCTTCTGCTTCTTCTTTATGATCATAAATTTTTATCTTGCTAGGAGTAAATTTGAAAAATCTCGAACGCGCATTTAAGTTTTAGCAATGTGGCATGCGGAGAATGTTTGCGTTTTTTGAGGAAAAGAAATTGAGTTGATCTTTATTTTAATATCACAATCATCATCATGAACCCCCTCAAGAGTTTCAAACATAAATTTCGAGTCGAAAGAATGAAATCTCGAAAAAGTTTTCCTTCCTCCCTATCAAAGATTGTTGGCGGAAAGCGAGTGCAAGGGAAGAAGCTGGCGTTGATATCTCGACAAACGAATGAAAGAATGATAATGTGCGTATTTATATGCGTGACGAACAATAAAAATTTTACAGTTTTTCCCATTCTGGAAACATGGAAAAAGTGTTCGGTTAGCTTTCAAAGAATTTATGATGATTTGGGAAAGATTTTTATGACTTTTGCAACTGGTTTCAGTTTTTACAGTCGATACTAAAATTTACGTTCTTGTTTTCTCGTCTTTGTTCTCTGTTATTGAGGAAGTTTGATAAAAGCTATTTACAGAGACTTTTAATGTTACGATACTGTTCATCTGTAAATGATGACTTTAAAAGGCTAATGAATTGAAAATACTTTTACCGTTGTTGCTTATTTACTTTCATCCTTAAGAAAATTAAAACTTTTTCACGAGTTTTTCCTCGTAAAAGAACTGAAGAGTTGGCTAAATGAAAATTTACCTTTCAGCATCTTTTTTCCTTTAAATTTGTTTTATTGAGAACAAGAAAAACTTAAACTTTAAGCTGCTTAAAGTAATCTGTGAAGATGTTCATTTAAAATTTATTTAATTCCATGATCTTGCTTTGAAGTTCTTTACAAAGTACAAAGTTTAAAGTTTTTAACCAAAGCCATAATAAGATTAAAAGAAGACTTGAATTGAAATATTAAAGTGAATCATATCAAACATTTTCTTCTTAAACTAAGTTAATAAACACAAAACTCAGCGATACAAATTGAAGTCAATTTCGGACTTGCTGGAATTTACCGTCATCCATAAAACAAATTAAAGTTACATCTTTATCACTTAAAAAGGGCGACAAGAGAGAAAAAGAAAACAGCAAACAGAAACCCTTTTTTTAAAGGATAGATAAGTGAAAGAAGGAAGAAGAGAAGTTTAGTCAAACACAAAACCCCTTGAGAATGGCATCGTATCTAAGTGGGAGTGACAGTGATATAAAGCGTAAACAAACGGTCAAAAAAAAATGATACGAAACACTTTGATAAGTAAATACTCGTTTAAAATGTCGCTCTTTACTTCCTTTTTAACAGCAACCCAACGACTATCATTTAATCAAATCATTTATTAAAAAAAAATCGCCGACACTCTTTTGGCAGAGAGCAGAAGTTTCCGCTTTGTCATCGTGAAAATGCAAACGCAGGCAATGCTTAATCGTTAATTATTTTTTCATAGTTTTTTGTTGCTTAATAATCATCATTGCTACTAACGCCATTATGTATTAATAAGCACTTTCCCCTTTACTGAATGATCCACAAACGCACAACAGAGAGTTTCCACCCTCATAATTACAATCCACCTTTCATTGTTTACATATTTGCATATCACATTCTGCTTTTCTACTTTGCTTATTGTGGGGATTGAGGGTTGTTATAATAGCGTTGCAGAGAGCAATAACATTACAGTAGCAGCGCTTTTTGAATGTTTATTTGATTTTATATTCATTTCTTCATTTATTTAATGCGGTTTTTGCGGTGCTTTTTCACTTTTCATTCCTTTTTCTTCTCAACATTCTCCCCCCGGCCGAAGGAGGGAAAGAAATAAACATTGGGGAAATGAAGCTCATTACAATAATAAGAAAGAGATAAAATTGTTATTTTTCCACATTTAGATAATTACCTGTCGCTAAAGCGGCCAACAAATCCTTCGCACTTGAGCCTGGCTTTGTTGCGTTAATGCCCAATGCACTCACTCGAACGGAAAATCGCGCTCCTGACTTTTGACGCTTCTCGTTAATGCCTTTATAAAGCCAAGATATAGCGCATGGTATAGCACCTAAATCATTCGATGATGCTACAGATCCCAACATCGTACGGTTTTGACCTGAGATTGTTGAGAAATCACCATGAGAGATGGAGAGAAAAAGAAAAATTATTTTTACACAATTTTTATTTCGTTAAGAAGATTTAAAGAGAAAAAAACAAAATAAAATTTATTTTCAGATTTTTTCGTCTTCTTTAGGCAAAAAAAAGCTTTGTGTGCGGGGGTGGGCGTATGAAAATAAAATAGAGAAACAAGAGAAACGTTTTAAAGGATTTATCAACAGCTTTACAGATTTTTTTTATTATTTATTTCTATTCAAGAGTTTAAAATGATTTATCGTGGATGAGTAATGTGAAAACTCTCATTTTAACGCGCACCATATGCTTGAGAAGTTTCTTTACTGGTTTTTCTTTTCTCTTACATTTTTTTTTTATTATAAATATTTTTCACCGAAAGTAATATTCACAAAGATTTATTTTGACACTTGCTTTCTGCTTGGAGAACGGATTAAAATGGAAATGTGTGTGACATAATGTTGAGAAGTGAAAGATATTAGTCAAACACATTAGAGGTTGTGTGGGGATTTTTTCCCTCCTTCAACTTTGCTTCTTCTTCGTTTTTTATTTTTATTTATTCACTGCCGTCTGACAGTTTTTTTTAACTTCACATTGATTAAACAGCAGTAGCAGTCATTGCTTTGCTTCTTTGCTTTTGTTGAATGAAGGGAAAATTGATATGTTGTTAAATATTGACAAGTCATGCGTAAAGTTTACATAGAAATTGAGATTTAATGTGGAAAATAATTCAATCGTGAAGTGAAGAAATAAAAAAGAATTCACCTGCACCGGGATAACCAATAGCGAGCAGACAACCATCGCTACCTTCCAACACGGCTGGAATCACTTCTGATAAGGCTGAAGCACACACATCAATCTAATAATGTGAATGAAAGAAGAATAAACACACATGGATGAAAAGCTGAGATTTATTTTCATTAATAAACGAGGAAGAAAGGGCGAAACATTTCAAAGTTCTTTATTGTTATTATGATATGTTTTGATTTATCATTTCTCACATGAAGGTAAATGCAGGAAAGTAACTGACATTTGACAGATCTCATTGGATTTATGAAATATTAATATCACATTGTGTTGTTGGGGGGTGGGAGTGGAAATAAAAAAGCAAAGAATTCTTTAAGTCGTTGGTTGGATTAAAAAAATCTTAGCAAATAAAAAATTATTTATGAACAAACTTACAACCTTTCTCATTCTACAAAACATCATTTTTATATGAAATATGTAAGATTTGTGTGTGTGTGTTTGTTTGTTCTGTGTCGGTCCCTTGACTCTTTATCCACACTACTGATTTATTACAGGGAAAAGATAAATTAGAGAGATGAAACGAGATTATTTTTCTGCTTCTGCTGCTGTGACGAAATTTAATAATAAAGGAAGAGAGAATCTTCATATCTTCGTATGTTAGTTAGTTGGTTGATAGAAGCTCATGAAATTCTTTGGCGTTAATGTAATAAATTTTATGATGACTCAAGCGTATAGGGAGTGAAAGTATGTTTGCACACTGTAAACAAAATTATACGTTGTAACCTAATTGCTAATAAAAATCACCGACACAGAATCTTGATTGAATCATTTCGGTGCTGTGATTGTGAGTGAAAAATAAAAATGAAAAAAGAAAAATAAATTTTGTGAAGATGGAAAGCCTTCATTAGACGATGTGAAGAGGTCACGCTGTGACGATAATAAATCACTCCAATAAAAATTTCACCAAAGGATATCACAGAGTGCGAGTGGAGCGTTGTTGAGTCGAGAGACTTTGCTTCATATTTTTTGTTATTTTATTTTTGAGAAATGACGGGTCATTAGTTGGAAAACGATGTTGGGGTAAATAGGGTGTAATAATTATTTAACATTGTTCTACACTTAGAGAGGGTGAAATTCATTAACATCAACAATTTTTCATGTTGCTCCGACTTTTTTAACAAGGGACTGCATTTGCATTGTTAAAAGAGAATTTTGATACATTACCTGGCTGTCTTCGCTCGTGTGCAAAGCGTCAAAAGCAAACATTTTCGGTGCAGAGACCATTGGACCGCGATCTTGAACATTCGTTGATGTTTGGGGTGTTTGTGTTGACGTCGGTTCGCTGAGTGTCACTTGCCGTTTCTTCTTGTCAATTGATAAGTAACTGACACCTTTATCGCCTTCAGGCTGATTATCAGACACTCGCAACATCACTTTCACCTGAAATTGTTTATTTGCTTTCAATTTTCACAAGACGACAAATTTTCTTTGTGGAAAAATTATGGAAATTGAAACACGAGAAGTTTCTCAACATCTTAAATGCTCGAAAAGTCGACAAGGAAAAGTTGTTTTAAACAATTTTCTTCTGTCTATCATTTGTTTCATTAAGAAACGATTTTGAACAAATTTTCTCAAGATATTTTCCATTTGTTTGACGTTTAAGTGTCAAGACATTTTCCACCGAAGCACTTTGTTTTATTAATTAAAAATGAAGACAATGAAGAAGCACTTCACTTACCCTTCCGAATCCCAAATTTTCTTTATTCGATAAGCGTCTGGCAAGAGACGGCGGCATAAGTGGCGGAGCTCTTTGTAGAGCTCCACAAAAGCCTCCACGTTCTGATCCATTTCCATGTGTTCGACTACTCTTCGTGCCATTCGCAGCTGACACCATTCGTTGTGCAGCTCTACAAGAAATATTTATTTTTCACTTTAATAACATTTTTAATTTAATTTTTTTTTTTCTTAAATTATTAAGAAATTTTGTAGCGAGCAAAAAAAAAATTCTGAAAGGATAAACTTTCACAACACTTTTCATCATCTCTTTAATCAAATCAAGATTTGCTTTCATAACTTTTTCTTTTGCTTTCTCGTTAGGGATAATCCTTGAAACGTTTCCATTTTATTTAGTTTTGAAGATTAACAACTTGAAAGTCGTAAAAATAAAAACTTTTTTATTATTTTATTTTAATTTGAAATAAGAGACAACATTTCACAACATAAACGTCTTCACATCAATCGGATCTTGTAACATTTAATACCTTTTTGACATTTTTGTTGTTTATTTTTATCCACAATAGGAAGCAGCGATATTTGACGCTAAAGCATTTTTTATGTTTCCAAAAATTATTTCACGATTTTCCATTTTAAATTTATTCGATTTTTTGAGTGCATCCTGGATAAGATTTATAAATGTAAGAGATGCACCCCATGTTCATTAATTCGAGTACTTTTATCACTAAAACTGTTCACACTCAATTCTATTTATGATTTCCTTTCATTATTTCGAATTACGAGAATTTTATTTCATTCATTAAATTTTGCAATCTTAAATTCTTTTTTTTCAACTATCGCACTTTAATCCTTTAAGTTAATTGTGTAATCCAAAAATGTAAAATTCGTGTTGGTGTATAAATCCTTGTATGGTGTGTGAATGTCCCATTAAAGTAAATAAATTCAAGTCAAGCGGAGAGCGAACCGCTAAATTCTGACTTTATCGTTTCACGATTAAATGAAGACTGAGTAAAATTTGCTTATTGAAAACAATAATATTGTGTAATATGACATAAAACACATTTTCATTCATGACATTTTCCGAGCGAGAGAGAACTGTGAGAATGACTGGAAGGAAATTCAACCGATTGGGAAAGTTGTAACGTGCGTGAGAGAAAAGCACGTGAAAAACATTTTCCTATGCACGTGCATGAAGAGAAAAGCATTCCAGTCGTTTTGATAATAATAAAATAGAAGAAAAGAAACACAACACGAACATTTGTCTTATAGCATGAGATGATACGAGATGTAACTGATCACAATAATGAAGACAAATGAATTTTGAAAGAAGAATTCTCGAAGAGATAAAATGAAGGAAAACAAATCGAAAGCATGTTCCTTCTATAAACGTCATGATTAATTAAGATAAAATTAGAAGTTTACATCGTTAAAATGAATGGAGTGAAAAGAGTAACAAATTAACCAGCTCTTGGATTAAGTGATGCTTTAATTCAAAGTGACAAACATCGAGTAATTCTTAAGAGTCTTAAAAATTGTTGTTGGTTAAGTGAAACACTACTAATATCTAAAAATACTCTCCCGCTTCTCCTCCCGTCGACGCAACATCATAAAAAGCATCACAAAAGAAATTAACAAACGACGAGAATAATTTTAATTCCAAGACACTCGAGAAACATAAAAATGCATGCCACATGTTTGTAAATGAATTTCAATGCCTGCTCTCCTCCAACATAAAAAATACGCCCCTTGTTGACGAGAACGAAAGATGATAAACTGCCTCATTGATATATTTTTAAATGGAACATAAATTCTTTTCCATCTCATAATAATTTTTTACTCGTTTTTTTTTGTGAAAATTAAAAATCATTTTTCATGAATTTTCGCTGTGTGTTTACATGAATTGAGTGGGGATGATTAATGTTGATGTCACATGATGATTTTCTTGTTAAATACTTCAATCTTTCCCCCTTTTGAATGTAAAATGATTGTTGAGGGTCATGCGACAGCTCACATCACATCATAATTTATTAAATATTTGTGACGTTGTTTACGGAAGAAGAGAAAAACAAATTCCATTCTTCTGGCTTAAAAAAATGTTCTATTTCAAAATACTTTCCGGGAAAAAAAGAGAGAAGTGAAAATGACTCCAGACAAACAAACAAAAATCCATCCCAATGACATCATATTACAATGAACGGTGGAGTAATGTTTGCTATTTTTAAAAATCAGCTTTACAATTGTGAAAATTTCCCTTTCCATTAAGTGTTGATGTTAAATATTGATTTTTCATCTCATTTCTTCACTGGTTACAAAAAGCAAGAATTATCAATGTTTGGCGAAAATGAAAAGTTGTTGAAGGGAAATGTAAACAAATGTCGACTCACTTTTCGAGATATGCTGCACTTGCGAGACTCAATGCAGTCTCTTGAATGATGTCCATTCGTTTCTCTTGCGTGAGATGACTTAAATATCCATTTTTCCCAATTTTACTGCACGATTGAATTTGACTCATCATCTCAGCTCGTAATAAATTTTGGAATATATTGGAATTTTCTTTCGAATCGTCAGCAATTGTTGGTGGTTGGAAATTATGGACACTCACTTCATGTTCATCAATCATCTCATAAATATGATTTTCTGGATCGCTTTTTTCCGCACGATTTTCCACATACTCGTTCATTACACCGCACATTCTGTTGGGTAACAATTGTTTGTGTGCTAATTGTTGTTTCGATTTGAAATACATTTGATTTGCTTTCAGTTCATGATGAACTGCTTGAAAATGAGTTGAATGAGTTTTAGGCGACATTTGATGTTGCAAATTTGTTGTATTGGCGATGGAATTATTTTGTATGTTGTGTGCGCGTGCAAAAACGAATTGATTATGAATCAACAAGTTTGACTGTTGATGGTCGAAATTAATGAACGGTTTTGGTGGTATTCTAGGATGATTTGTTGCTTGGACAGTTGCCATTTGAATACTTTTTCTGTTTTCATTAAATTCTTGAGATGCTGGCGTTTGTTGCATTCCTTCTGGATCAGATCGAAAGATTTGTCTTTGTGGTGGCACGGGCGGAATTTTTCGTTGAGCATGATTTATATGAGTTGCTGTGTTGATATGTTGTTGTCGTGTTTCTAATCCTGAGTTTAATAAAGGCATGAAGGGAATGTTCTTCATCACATTTCCATCCAAACCAGTTTGATAATTAAAACTATTTTGATTGAATTTTGGCATTGTCTTGATGTTGAAGAATTTCGGTGCAGCTTGCTGAAAATCAAATAGAATTCCAGAAAATAAGAAAATGATTTTACTTGCATGGTTAAATTTTCATGAGCTTACAGTAAATTGTTTGAATTCTTCATCATTTGATTCATCATCGCTGATATGAAGTCTGTAGGGAATTTCAAAGATTTTCATTAAATTTTAAACAATAAAATTGTTCGTTGGGTTTATGCTTGTTGCATAAATTGCAGGCGTATACATAAATAAGCATAACTTCCAGGCGCTTACCTTCGATGAAGTTTTTGATCAGCTCCAGAATTTTTATTCATTTTCTTCAAAATATTTCTCTTGTTCTTAAAATGAACATTTTTCCTTGGCTCTTTTAGTTTCTCCATTATTATTATTATCAGTTTTAAAGTTTACTACTCGTCTGTAATCGTGTCGAGACAACCAAAAAATAAAGAAATAAAAAAAGAAGAATTGATTATTCAATTATAAAGTTTATTGCCGTGATTGATGAAAGGTTTCAACATTAACTTAAACTTGCTGATAAGAAGCGTTGAAAATTGAAATAATTTATAGGTCATGCTATACACATAAGGAACCAGTCATAAGCCATAAATATGTAAACGAACGTTACCAATCTAATACGTCATATTAAAAACATCAAAATTCTTGGAAGATATTCGAGACATTTGTTGGAAACACTTTTAAACAATATTTTCGAAGAATGTAATGAGAGTTTTTGAATCATTAAAAACAGATCATAACAAAGCAGCATACCATGCAGCAAACTCTTTCCCTCATTTATGCTCATGATTGACAGTACATAAGAACGAAGAGCTTCTCGTAAGCAAACTAATTGACTTCAATAATGAATTTCCATTCTTTCTTCTTCCTTTTGTTAGTAAGAAATTTCAAAATTTGCTACCAGTCAAATTGACGAGTAACGAGGCACCTCACCTCATATCAATAACATTGAGGGAAATAATAACGGAAAAGATGATCGTCGTATCATTCACAAAGCAGAAAAGAAAAATATTAACAAAAAATCTCATACATCATCGACATCGAAAAACAAACAAAGACTAGACGATTGATAGCAACTGCCTACTGTTCTGTGTAATTGATATAGCAGCACAGCAAAACAGTCAGTCAGCAGTCAAGCAGAAGGGCACAAAAGCTAAATAAACGGCTTACAAGAAACATCAAAGTTCTTGTTCTGCATGTTCTCTTCCTGCATTTCGTAAGAATTCCGTGGAAACCAAAAAAAAAAATCTTTTTATCTTCTCGCACGAGATTTATCTTTTCTTGATGGATATCTTTCAACAATAATCGTAAAAATTATGTTCTACATGTGTTTAAATGTCTGTTTACTTCTAAATCAGAATTTAATAATTGATCTTTCTTTGCATGTGCATCACTTTGTTTTACATGTAAGTTAATTTAAGAAGAATTTCAGTTAATTAAATATAAAAAAATAAGACAATTAGTCACAGGAACGAGTGTCGCAGATCAAGCATCACAAATTAGTGGAACAAATACATGCCATGTGTTTACGTCGTAGCATTCATGAAACCATAAACAGCTTGTCAAAAGAGTTCTCGACGCTTAAAGTGTCTGAAAACGTTTTTTCTCTTTCTAAGCGATTAAATTTCAAAGAAATCCAATCGATCTCTAATTTCTTTTTTATGCTTGTGATTTTGCGAATTGAATTGAAATTCTCAATTAATCCTTAGTCACTCGACATTGTTAATTGTTGTCATGTTAACATAACTGCATTTAAATACAATACTTAATAGCAGGATATGTAGATGAAAGCGTTAACAGTTAATTTAATGTTTAACGAGATCGATGAGACGTGTAATTAAATATCATAAGCTCGATTTATGTCAACCCGTATCAATAATAAAAATAATGGAAGAAAAAACTTTCATTTCTTAACTGATGTCATTGCTTTTATTATATTTCAATTCCATTACCAAACTTCAAACCTCCAGTATTCTCTCGTTTGATTCAATATTTAATCAGATCTGTGTTCGAAGTTTTGTTCTGTTTTGTTTATTCGTCTACGCTTGAAATGGAACTTCATTTTCTTCGTTTAATTAACATTAGTTTTCTTCTTCTTTTTAAACACATTGCACGCATTGTTATAAACAAATGAAATTTCACCATCGAAATTGTTTTTCTTTTTACTTTTTTTTTGTAAGAAGAGAAAAAATTGTTTACAAGAAAATGAAAACTGTGTAAGGAAAATTAACTTTTCATTATAACGATTATGATTATGAAATCAGGAATGTATCTAGAGATATGTTAAGCAGTGAGAAAAATGATCTTGTTGAATAGCTTTATGACGGTTAACTACAACTTAATGATTGCGTAAATTACTTCTCCGACATACAACTTTTTTAATACATTTCTTACATCGCATCGAATGTAATGGATCAAGGTTTTATCTTTCTTTATTAATCAGTCAATTCAATGAGACAAGCAACGCTTAAAGGCTCAACAATCGTCAAACTAATCGATTATTGGTGTGTGCAACTTCAAGTCTTCCAGCAAAAAAAAAAAAAATTCAAGTTATTGGTGAACATCAATCAAGCCAACATTACAAACCACTTAACAAACAATTTTCCTCTGTTGAAATGAATGCAACATGAATTTGCTTCTTCTTCACTTTAACTTACTTTTAAAGAGAACCCTGAGGCGTTAAAATGCGACGAAATTTTCGGTAAAATGTTCATCATAAATAAAATTCGTCATGCACTTCGATCATTTATTTATGTTTTTTGTTCAAACATTGTCTGCAGATTAATATGAATATGAAGCATGCAAATTGCATCATAAATCTTTCCAAAAATGAGGCGAAATTAGAAAATTGAGTGTCAAAACAAGTGCTTGACTCTTGACAAATAGCATCCACTATTATGACCATTTAAAGAAGCGAAAGCCATTAAGGGCGAAAGACGAAACAATGTTCATTGAGATTGTTGATGTTTTGACCTTTCACTCGATTTAATGGAACTCATGTTTTATGTCTGCTTTTGACCCTTAAGCCAGACGAGACACTCTTAAGTAAATGAAATTGAATAGTCTGTTAACACTTTTTAAAGACGAGGGAAACTTAAGTGTGTGAAAATGTTTTTTCAACTTGTTATTAAAGGAAATGTTAACGTTTACCGATTACAGTTAAAATTTTCTTAAAAATGAATTTTCATTCTTCCCGTAAACCGAGAACAAATCAAACATATTCTTATCGATGCTTTATCATTTACAACCTTTTGTAATTAGCTTTTAAGTATCAAAGCACTATAAATCGAAGCCATTCTTATCTTATCTAAATATCAAACACTTAGCACAATCTTGTTTGTATGCGTTTAGAAATTAAACGAAATGAAAATAGAATAAAAAGTTTTGAGAACAAATCGAAGGCGTCATAAGTTTGGAATTGAAGTTCCAGGGTAGAAATTAAAACGGAAAATATCGTCGAAATGTGTGAAATTTAAGAGTTTGACAAATGAGATTTTTGACTTTTGTCAGCATGAAGAAGTAAACAAAAGAAGGTCGCAACTGCAGTGGCATGAGAGTAGAAAGGGTAAAGCAGCAAAGATTTTTAAGAAATGATATGAAACAATGGACAATCAAAAATACAAAAATTATTGAAGCATTTTAGGGAAACGTTATGACGTGAGAACTAAATTTAACGGCACATTAGTTGAGGAATAATAACTTAGCAGGCAAATGAAGAATGATACAAAAATTTTATGACTTACCGCCTTTAAAGAGAGTTGAAATTAAAAATGTTAAGCCACTGCTAATCCACAGTAGTATTCGATTTCATTTCACTTTGTATCTTCAATCTCCGAAGAAAATATTATTAAGTCAATTTCATAATCATCCATTATAAATCACTCGACTTAATCACTTTCTCGTTAGCAGAGATTTTTTTTGTTGTTTGATTAATAATTATTGAATGTTTTACGGCACTCCAAACTATGCACGAGACGCTAATTAGTTTGGTATCACGCTGGGAACTTTGGGACTACTTTAGACAACGTTCGAGTGACTCTAATAATAAATATCACGTCGCGTAAAAATTTTGAATATCAAAACACTTTGATTTAATCACTTTTTTTATCGACATCTTCTCGTCACGAACTTTCGCCTTAAAGATTATCTTGCAACATTAATTTGTTTAATAGAATCAATCAAATTATTGACTCAGATATTCACTGCTATAATCCATTGAATCAACAATGAATATTCATTTCCCAAAGAGCATAATGAACATGCCCAGCAAATCAATTAAATTTCCGCATGAATTGTTGATCCGAATCCGAGTCGAAATCGATATAAATTGTAAATATAGCGACAAAAGGGAGAACAAAAAACAAAAATAAAATAAAATAAACGAATCGTGACACGCTTTGAGAGGTTGCCGTCTGGTGTCTTCGAAATATGAATGAAAACTGAGCCGGCGATTAAATAAAACGAGCAGAAGTTGCACAAAAGAAAATGAATTATGAATGTTGCTGCTGCTGCTGCTGGTGTGTTGACTTGTAGTATTTTATTGTGTATAGGTTCAGCTGTTCTAAAAACTCTTCAATACATCCAACATTGTTCACTCATAACGATCATTAAAATGATGTTTTACAATTTGCATAATTTTAAGGGGATTGAAGCATCTCGAGATTACGTTTCTTGCAAGGGTTCGCAGTTGGAAACAATATAATGCGTCATACTGCGAACATGCAGATATTTACTTAATAATACTTCAACTACAATATTGAATCATCAAAGTTAAGCTCTTTGATTGATTAGATGCTGTGCAAATAAACAATTCAATTGATTACTTTTATTGCCTCTAAAATATTTGCGTCGATTGCATAATCTTCAAATACATTTGTTAATTTACTTAACATTGGCTAGAGAAAAACATTTTCAAATTTCATTCCTTGCAATCGAGAAAATTAATCAAAAATTGTTGTTGAAAGTCACGTGTCAAAAAATTTGTCAGTCAAACCCTTTTGAAAAGTTGTGAAAACATTTGAGAAATGAGAAAGAAACATTTGGCAATAAATTCTTCTTTCCGAACACTTTTTCTTGTTGATTCAATTTCAGCGACAAAAAGGGGAGTCGAATCATTAAGAAAATTAATTCTTCTTCAACATCTCGTGGAGAAAAATGATTGATTGTTGAGTCTTCTCTTGATGAAAGGATTTCTTTGAAATTTGATCTTTTCGTAAGATTCTTCAATGCTAAAGTTGCATGTCTCATGCATCACTTTCCATATTTGTAAATGAACATTTAATGAGCCACTCGATGTGCCGATAGAAATGAAAATATTTCACTATTTACTCAGATGTGATGAAGCATCAATTTCAACCCTCTTGGAAATAATATCGAGACAAGGAATGGAAGAGAAGATGCTGAGATTAACCATTCGAATGTATTTTCCGGGATTAAACATTTCTTGTTTTATTTATGAAGTTTGTTTGTCGACGAAACTCTCATTGTGGTTTTCGCATGACTTGATGCGTAATCGCTTTTATTATTCGGCAATTAGAAAAGCTTTCTTGAATGATTTCACAAGTTATTTCAATGAGATTCAAAATGAAGTGTTGAGATATTTATCAGGAGCTTTAATTGTGCCTTGAATTTTCGTTAAGCTTCGTTTGGTGCTTTATCGAACTTCAATATTTAAAATAATCTCAGAAAATTCCACAATTTCCAGAGGAGTAGAAAAGTCGTTAAACAACATTCCTTAAATCACTTTATGCTCAAATAAATTGTTTTCAAAGCCCTTTCAGAAGAATAAAAAATGAGAAAATCAATTTACAACTGAAAATAAGAAAAATGCAGCGAAGAAAAAATTCGAACCGAAAGTGAACGAAAGTCGCTCGACGGGACATCAACGATATGAAAATTTTTATTCGATTTGATAAATTAGAAAATTATTCATGTGATGGGACTGGGATTGCTTGGTTTTCCGTTCCTTTTGTGTTGCCTTCTCATTCGCACGACCCGAGAAAGTTTTTTATGCGTCTGAGAGAAAAGTCGGGAAGAAAATCTTTTCAGTTTTTCCTCACATTTTTATATTATTTACAACCATTTCTCCTGTTCTCGTCTTCGTTATTGCGCAAACAATGAAAAATCCTTGAGGGTGAAACGAGAGAAAAAAAGTGAATTTATCTACTTTTTTATTACTTTGCACTTCTTGTTTTGTTTCTTCTTAGTTTAAGGCCAATGAAAGAATTTCTTTGCTTTTTTCTTCTTCCACCTTTCAAATGAATTTGGCAATCAAATTATCATCATTACGAAGCAGTTTAGAGATGAGTTTTGAGATTACCTTAAACGTTTCATTGGCGATAAAAGTTTAAGAATTTAAGACGACGTTTGCATTGATGAGAAGTCCCTTTGTGGGGCTGATTTGAAGTTTCTTTTATAGCCGAGCTACAAAAGGGGAAAAGTTTCTTTGTTAGACGACTGAAAACTTCTTAATTACTTAATAAGGATACAAAAAAAATTATTACACACTTGAGAGTCGCACAATTGTTTAATGGAAAAAAAAACAATGAACGGAAGTTTTTCTTTATTTTTCCTGGTAAAACTGAAAACTGTGAAANAAATTTGTCAAAAATTTTACCTTGCTAAATTTAATTATTGATTTGATACAGAAAAATGTGGAAATGTTTGAGTTTGAAAAATTTTCTAGTTGCAAACTTCAACGAAAAAACCAACATAAATGGAATTTGATATCCCGCAACTCCAATTTCAAACCACAATTTATGATTTATCTAAGAAGCAATTTCGAAGTTTGAAAAGTTTTCTTTAATTCTTGTCTAAGCAAGCTTCAAAGTTGTGAAAGTATTTGGATCAACGACACCCGCTTGCTTTCTTTTAGGCAAACGATTCTATCAATTTGTCTTTTTTTATAGAAATAAAATTGAGGATTTCTGAATGAGTCAATCAAAACATTTAAAATGTTGAAAGGTTCATTTGAAATTGACTTGTAAGGTGAACAATCTGGGATTGCAATTGTCATGATTTGAAATAATTCTAGACATTTATTTATATGAATCTTGCTCCAATTGAGTTGTTTTTTTCCAGAAACTTATGAAGTTCGATAAGAATTCATTTTGACGACATTGTTTATCAATCATTTGTCAAAAAATTTGTCAGTCAAACCCTTTTGAAAAGTTGTGAAAACATTTGAGAAATGAGAAAGAAACATTTGGCAATAAATTCTTCTTTCCGAACACTTTTTCTTGTTGATTCAATTTCAGCGACAAAAAGGGGAGTCGAATCATTAAGAAAATTAATTCTTCTTCAACATCTCGTGGAGAAAAATGATTGATTGTTGAGTCTTCTCTTGATGAAAGGATTTCTTTGAAATTTGATCTTTTCGTAAGATTCTTCAATGCTAAAGTTGCATGTCTCATGCATCACTTTCCATATTTGTAAATGAACATTTAATGAGCCACTCGATGTTTCGATAGAAATAAAAATATTTCACTATTTACTCAGATGTGATGAAGCATCAATTTCAACCCTCTTGGAAATAATATCGAGACAAGGAATGGAAGAGAAGATGCTGAGATTAACCATTCGAATGTATTTTCCGGGATTAAACATTTCTTGTTTTATTTATGAAGTTTGTTTGTCGACGAAACTCTCATTGTGGTTTTCGCATGACTTGATGCGTAATCGCTTTTATTATTCGGCAATTAGAAAAGCTTTCTTGAATGATTTCACAAGTTATTTCAATGAGATTCAAAATGAAGTGTTGAGATATTTATCAGGAGCTTTAATTGTGCCTTGAATTTTCGTTAAGCTTCGTTTGGTGCTTTATCGAACTTCAATATTTAAAATAATCTCAGAAAATTCCACAATTTCCAGAGGAGTAGAAAAGTCGTTAAACAACATTCCTTAAATCACTTTATGCTCAAATAAATTGTTTTCAAAGCCCTTTCAAAAGAATAAGAAATGAGAAAATCAATTTACAACTGAAAATAAGAAAAATGCAGCGAAGAAAAATTTCGAACCGAAAGTGAACGAAAGTCGCTCGACGGGACATCAACGATATGAAAATTTTTATTCGATTTGATAAATTAGAAAATTATTCATGTGATGGGACTGGGATTGCTTGGTTTTCCGTTCCTTTTGTGTTGCCTTCTCATTCGCACGACCCGAGAAAGTTTTTTATGCGTCTGAGAGAAAAGTCGGGAAGAAAATCTTTTCAGTTTTTCCCTCACATTTTTATATTATTTACAACCATTTCTCCTGTTCTCGTCCTCGTTATTGCGCAAACAATGAAAACTCCTTAAGGGTGAAACGAGAGAAAAAAAGTGAATTTATCTACTTTTTTATTACTTTGCACTTCTTGTTTTGTTTCTTCTTAGTTTAAGGCCAATGAAAGAATTTCTTTGCTTTTTTCTTCTTCCACCTTTCAAATGAATTTGGCAATCAAATTATCATCATTACGAAGCAGTTTAGAGATGAGTTTTCAGATTAACTTAAACGTTTCATTGGCGATAAAAATTGTTTGTGAACTTCACTTAAAGTTTCTTTAATAACTTTTAATTTTCCGGGAATTTCCAATAAATTCAATCAACGATTCTACTTTTACAAAATTACAAAAAATGACTAAATTACTACAAAACTATTACGCTAATGAGTGTCCTTGTTCCATTTTCCTGCTGACGACAGCAAATGATTGTAAATCCATAAATGATTCAAAAAACTTCGCTCGCTTTGAAATTTGCAAATCTCTTCTATAAAAGTTATGCAAATGCAAAAAATATTTCAGTTCAACGCCAGTCAGCTTAACAAGATGGAAAAACTTAACTTAAGGAAAACGTTTGAAAATTTGAAATTTAAGTGTGGAAAAATATTAAATGAAGATTTTAATTTTAAGTTGGAATTTGAAATTATTCATAAAGCTTTCAAACTATCAAGTAAGAGAGTTAAAGAGTTAATTCGACTAAATCCAGGTTTAAATTTTCAGATTTGGATTCTTTTAAATATTTTGGAAATTCAACAAGAAATGTTTCACTTTATGCAGCAATTTTTGTGATATTTTTCGGAACAATTTTGTTCAAGAACTTTCTTTTTGACTTTGTTGACGATAAGAAGAAACAATTCTCGTCTTTAAATGGGATTTGCACAGGAATTCAAGTATTCATCAATTAATTCTTAACAAAAATTTTAAACTTAATGCCAACTTTTCTCAGATGTTTACGAAATATTCAGTTTTCTACATTCTCAACAAAAAACTTTTCACACTCAAAAAGAAAATTTTGGCAGATGGAAAATCAAATGAAATTGATTTTGAATCGAGGAAAATTATTGAAAAACATCGAAGAGTCATTCGAATGGCAATATTTGTTACAATCGCTCTTTATGCCACGGTCATACTTGGTTCATTTTTATGTTGTTTAATTAAAGTAGACGAATTTTTGATGATCACTGAAATTCAATTGCCATGGACGAGGTGACGATGAATCTTCTCATAATTTTTATGATTTTTATTTCTTTATCATTCTCGGTTGTTAAATAAGACCAAATAATTATGTGTCACATGGAATGAACATGACAACAATGATGGTTTGGATATCACACATGGCATTTATAGTGATTGGTATTTTAACAATGTTCAATTTTCACTTTATTACTTTAATTTCCTATTTCTAATGTCTTGACAAGGTTCTGATTCGTTTTTTATCCTGACAACTGTGCACACCATGTCGGAAGCGTCTGTTTGTGGTCATTTGGTATCTAAAATCGGACGAAATACTGATGATAAATATCTTAACGATTTGATAGAGAGACATCTGCATGTGCTAGACCTGATAGAGTCATCCAACACAATCTTCAGTGTTATTAACTTTTGCCAGCTAATTTCAGCATTTCTGATGATTGTTGCTGCTTTGTTTCAACTTAATAGTGTGGTGGATGCGGTTTCCTTATTGATTATTGTGGCAATTTTGTCTCAGAACTTTGTTTATTGTTTTCTTGGAACTTGCATTGAAACATCTGTAAATTCTTTTGGTTTCTCCTTTTGAAAACTTTTTTATTCAAAGATTTGTTTTAGTGTGAACAACTCGAACAGTCGCTGTACTGTTCTCAATGGTACAACTTGCGAAACGTTTCATTAAAAAGGAAATTTCTTATGATGTTGGTGATGAGTCAACGTAAACGAGGCTACTTTGCAATTGGAATCAAACCGATGAGTTTGGAAACGCACGCTGAACTTCTGAAAGCAGCTTTTAGTTTTTTAAATGTTTTGCTTACAATGTTGTGAATTCTTTTTAATTACTTTTGACTTTCATTTTGTTTCTTCTTAGTTTAAGGCCAATGAAAGAATTTCTTGGCTTTTTTCTTCCTCGACCTTTCAAATGAATTCGGCAATCAAATTATCATCATTACGAAGCAGTTTAGAGATGAGTTTTGAGATTACCTTAAACGTTTCATTGGCGATAAAAGTTTAAGAATTTAAGACGACGTTTGCATTGATGAGAAGTCCCTTTGTGGAGCTGACTTAAAGTTTCTTTTATAGCCGAGCTACAAAAGGGAAAAGTTTCTTTGTTAGACGACTGAAAACTTCTTAATTACTCAATAAGGATACAAAAAAAATATTACACACTTGAGAGTCGCACAATTGTTTAATGGAAAAAAAAACAATGAACGGAAGTTTTTCTTTATTTTTCCTGGTTAAACTGAAAACTGTGAAAAGCAAAATAGTGAAAAATGTTCATAAAGTTGAAAAATCTTGCACGGTTATTGTAGCAACACATGATGAAGTTGTTAGTTTGTTAGAAAAAACTAATAAAAATCATTTTTCATTCATAAGTTTAGTGAAAAGTTGCGAGACTTCACTTTATTACCTTTCACAATTTCCAGCCATAATTTATTTAACAAAATTATATCTTTAACCTCTTTGGAATGAAGACATTTATTCTACGATTAATATCAGAGATGTCACAATATTTTCCCTCCCAGTCTAAGCCCTTTATGACAACGACTCTTGAGTCTCGCAAACTTCTTTCGAAAATAAAGTGCAAGTCGGTAAATTCCACTCGTAGACGATCATAATTCAAAGAAAAGAACGAAGGAAGTTTGTGAGAATAAGAATTGGATTTTCCACTACATGAATTGTCTTAAATATTTACGAATGAAACGAAATTATTGATGGATCAAACAATCGGCCAACCATAAAGTGCAAAAACATGTTTCGGAGTCAATAAATTTCATTGCAGCAACGCCGTCAGAGTTCATTAATCAATCATAACATTTCAACCAAGTTTCGCCTGCCTCGAAGTCAGAAAGCAAGTGTGAGGGTGTCAATAATAATTAAGGCAGAAGTCAATGAATCAAAATGCAACCAAAATATGTCAATAAAAATAAATTTGCAAATTTTCGGCAACACGTGTGAAAAATTTATGAATTGAACAGACGATGACGACATTATTGCAATGTTCACTTAATTCAATATCTGAAAGTGTTGAGAATGGGAACGGGAATTACCTAAACCGCTACCACCCCCACTTCCACCCCAACCACATCGCTTTCTTTTGATATTCATGAGAGAAAACTATTTTATTATGCAAATAGCAAATCCAGGTTCTTGTCAATCTCACTCGACTTACTTTACATTTTCCGAATGAATATTTAATCCTCATGGTTTGTCATTCAAATTTCAAATTACAAAACAACAAAAAATGATGAGATGGAAAGTTTTTTGGGATTGTTTGGGATTCAGAAGGCTAATTGAATTTTCATATCCGAATGCGAATCGAGAAAAAAGTGAATTCAGGTTGAAAACGTGGAGTGAGTTGAAAGGTTGAAGCGCCAGTAAAAGTTTAAAGTCGATGAATTTTATAATCGCAGTTTGGACGATAAAAAGCGCAATCGATCAACAGAGAAATATTTTTGCGTTTTGAGCTTATTGAAAAATTGCTGTGCGATTTGTCATTGAAAGGAGGATAAGAGAAGTGAGATGCGATAATCCATCTTCACTAAAGTCAACCTAAGTCATCGTCATGAGGAAGGATGAAAAAATGGAAGAAATGGAAGAAATGGAAGGCATCTGTGACATGAATACTGATAAGACAGAAACAAATTTTCCATGTCTCGTCTTTTGTTTAGTAATTCTTAGATCATCTCAGCGCCTTTCTTTAATTACATTATTTTCTTCTCAGAAAACCTTATTTCATCTACACAGGCAACTAAATAAGAAATTAAAAACTTTATGAAGTTCTCCATTTCTTCCACAAGTCGAGTCAAAGCCGAAAGTTTTCATTTGCAAGAAGGTAAAAGTTTTCGAAATTTATACGACATTCCTGAGATTAAAAAACTTTCTTATAAAGCACAAAATAGAATAAAATTTAATTAAACGAAAAGCTTATTCATTTCAAAATGAAATGAAAAGAGCAGAAAATAACTCAGTTTAAGATGCAAAGGTTAATTAATTTTTGTAAACTATGCGCTTAGTTTTTCTTTCATTAAATTTTCTGATTTTCCTTTCATGGGTGACGTCGAGTCTTTGAGTTGTTAAAAAGCTTTTCAATTCCAACATCTGTCTATTGATGTTAACTTCAATTGACTGAACAACTACAGCAGATGCTTTAGATTGAAAATTAATATAAAAGAACATTAAAGTTGAAGACTTATAAAGGAGACTCGACTAGTTTTATTTTCAAAACATTTCCAATGACAAACATCAAGAAACTTCTTTGTTCAAGCTTCAACCTCAAAGCTCATTTGTACATATGTGCAAACATTTATTTTATGTTAATAATAAAAGAACAGTTTGGAAAAGTGAAAGCATGCAGATGTCATTTCGTTCTCGGATTATTTCTTGTGAACCAAAATCGAATTTCATTTTATGATCAACTCATGAACATTTTTATTGTACCGAGAATTTCGTTCATTGGTGACATAACTTTAAATTAAAGTTGCTCATCTATGCAATGATTTATGTTGAGGATTTAAATCATGAACACTTTTTCATACATTAAAGACGAGGAAAACAATAAAAATCGACAGTAAAAAAAACGTAAATCTGTAAATGGAAAAATTGTGTAAGAATTGAAATGAAATCCATCTCAGATTCATTTTGTTGTCACATTATCCGTTTCAACCCCAAACGATATAAAATGCTTACCGTGTGTTGGTTGTTTAGCTTGGAAAATTATCGTAACTTCAATTGAAATGCTCATTCAATGTACTTTCACTTAGAATCATTGCAACGTTTATGTTCGCGCATCAATAATTGAAGTCGCTTTAACTTAACAAGAAACAACCTTTTGAGAAGATTTCATGAACTTTTATGCTATCGACAATGTTCAATGATTTATGCAGCCTCTCGTGAAGTAAACAAGGAAAATATTTTAGCGATAACACGGAAAAACTTTTCTCGCCTTTTCTCTGCTTCAAGAAAATTTTAAAGTTTTATCGAATCGTCATGAACACGTTCGATGTTGACACATGAAAAGTTAATCAAGTTGAAGAAGTTTAAAGGAAGACGGGAAATGTTAAAGGAAGTTTCAACACCTGAAACATAAATAAATTAAACTTTCCTCCAAATCATTTTGCAATAAATCTTTTTGGTGGTAGCAAGTGTAGCTATTTACAAAACTAAGCAAAATGTACAACTCGTGCTTTTTATTGAGTGTTGAAAGTTTCTTCGACTTCCCTTGAACTCGTAAATTGGCAGTGTTAGCATCACAAGAGCTTGGGGTAAGTTTACGATGAAGACTTTTCTCTCGAGAGAAGTTTCAAAGCGGATTTATGTCGAAGACAAGGCTGAAACACTCACAAGAGACTGGTCAGGAAACAATGAGAATGAAGGCAACGTGTAGCCTCAATATAAAAGCCATAAAATAATTATTACACAATTTTTGTTTATTAGAAATAAAAATTGATTATAATTGATCATTATTAGCTATTTGCCAATTTGGTTTGTTTTCTTTCCAATATTCGCACTCTAATTAATGTTTTTTCCTNAACAAATTCGCATTAAAAAAACTTATATGAATACCCCTTTTCGTGATATTTAATCGCGACATTAAAAAAAATTTTTGCCGACGTCTTTTCCAAAGAGGAAGAAGCAAAAAACCATCCATGCCGATAAGTTGTCTTCTCTCAAAAGTTTTTTCATCAACAACAATGTTTGCTCTTAAAAATACAATATTTATTTTCCATATGTAAAACTTAAAAATGATGAATAAATAGTAACATAGACCAAAATTTTTTTAAGTTTTAAAAATCAGCTGGATATCTGGATATCCAGATATCCTTGTTTTCAGCTTGGAAATTATCTGGATATCCGCAATCGTCAATATCCGGATAAATCGGAAGGCTAACTTAGCATCACAAGAGCTCGGGGTAAGTTTACGATGAAGACTTTTCTCTCGAGAGAAGTTTCAAAGCGGATTTATGTCGAAGACAAGGCTGAAACACTCACAAGAGACTGGTCAGGAAACAATGAGAATGAAGGCAACGTGTAGCCTCAATATAAAAGCCATAAAATAATTATTACACAATTTCTCCATCGTCCAATCCTATCCTATACCCAAACCAACGATAAATTCCCACTAAAAGCAACCATTCGAAGTGGACAAAACTTCATGCATGAGAATCACCTTCAAATGGAGAAGAAAGGAAAATATTTGAATGAAACTGGAACAACGTTTGTAGCTATTTCAGCATATTATCACATTAAATGTGTTTGCAAAAAGAACCCTTGTGGACATTTTAATTACGTTTGGGGTAAGAGTTACCAGAATAAATGGAGGTAACTATGTGGAAAGTGTTTACTTACATCGGTCAATGCGGAAGAATTTTCATCACATGAACTTTGTTAACGTTGTTAACTGCAAACGAATCAGAGTAAGCTGAAATGTCATTCATAATTAAAATGGTTCTCCTGGAGTGAAAAAGATGAAATTTCCACCCAAAATTTATGACTAAGTCTCTAATGTATAAATTTTTATTGGTTTTTGCACTTAAGTGCTGCTTTAATCTCGACAAAAAATGATTAAAAATGACAGTTTTGTGATAAAAAGTTAGAAATTAAATATTTTTCTTTGTTCTTTGTTCAAGTGGAAACTGAAAGATTAAAAACGAAGAGAAAGACGAAAATTGATCAAACGAATCATAAAAGGATGATGTGATGTTTTGTAACACGAGGTTTAGTGAACGTTTGAATGTCGACTTTGAGCTTTCATAAAGTTGTTGAGATAAAAGATTTTTCTGCATCATAATTTTCCATTGTTTACTCATTTTTCATTGATGTGGATTCGCTTTTGTGGTGGATTTCAATTAGAAGAAAGAATTTTCTTGTGAAAATGTTTTTCTCTTTAATCTTCGACTGATGACTTTTTCATCTTTCACGTTCATTGAGCTTCTTCAAAGCTTTTCCCTTCCTTCAATCGTTTTGTTATTTAAATGAGAACATTTATGACTATCGACATTTTGACCAATGAAAGTCATCATTTCGACTTCCATGACTTTATCTATCAAATGAATAACAACGAATGACCCTCATCGACTTTCAACTTTCATTTCTCTTGGATGAATGTTGGAGAAATTGTTGTTCTGCATAAAAATGACATGAAGCTCGATTCTCGTTTCACATTCATTCGCTTTTCTCTTCACTACCTGCTTCTCCCCTTTGACTTCCCTTTTGAATTTTCATGCAAACAATTCATCATTCTCTTGAACTGTTTGTTTTCTTTCCCAGTCACTTCTGCCCGAATTGGCTTCCTTTCCTTTCCCTGCTCTTCACTGTCCCCATTTTTCATTGAAAACTTTTTATTTTTTCTTGATATTTTCATTACATTTTTCATGACATTCACTCAACTGTGAAATTTGATGAATTTTCAAACTTTTCGTTTCATTTTCGAGATTAAAGTTTTTAGTCAAATTACAAACTTCCTTCTCTCGACTTAATCCTATTTAAATGAGTTTCAAAATAATTGAAATAATGACGACTTCATTATTACAACGTCGGATTACGCAATTTTAAGGCTTAAACATGTCATTTGACATTTTATTTATGAAAATGAAAGTAATCGCTCGAGAATACGACAACAAATAAATCACAAGTCGTGCCATCATTTTTCAGATAAGAATGTCCTCGAGTTATTAAAGAGAGAGCTGAATATTACACAAATTATTGAAAATGTGAATGAATTAAAAGCTTTAAAGCATGAAATTATTTCATTTCTTACTTTTCTATTAAAAATAATTAAAATTTCTTATAAACAATTACAAAAANAATAAAATATTTTCTGTAAAGATTTTTTCCCAAGCATTGCGATAATTGTGATTAAAATGGAAAATCATATCAAAAGATTTCACGACTCCACATTCATAAAAATGATTTTTTGTTCTTTGTTCAAGTGGAAACTGAAAGATTAAAAACGAAGAGAAAGACGAAAATTGATCAAACGAATCATAAAAGGATGATGTGATGTTTTGTAACACGAGGTTTAGTGAACGTTTGAATGTCGACTTTGAGCTTTCATAAAGTTGTTGAGATAAAAGATTTTTCTGCATCATAATTTTCCATTGTTTACTCATTTTTCATTGATGTGGATTCGCTTTTGTGGTGGATTTCAATTAAAAGAAAGAATTTTCTTGTGAAAATGTTTTTCTCTTTAATCTTCGACTGATGACTTTTTCAACTTTCACGTTCATTGAGCTTCTTCAAAGCTTTTCCCTTCCTTCAATCGTTTTGTTATTTAAATGAGAACATTTATGACTATCGACATTTTGACCAATGAAAGTCATCATTTCGACTTCCATGACTTTATCTATCAAATGAATAACAACGAATGACCCTCATCGACTTCCAACTTTCATTTCTCTTGGATGAATGTTGGAGAAATTGTTGTTCTGCATAAAAATGACATGAAGCTCGATTCTCGTTTCACATTCATTCGCTTTTCTCTTCACTACCTGCTTCTCCCCTTTGACTTCCCTTTTGAATTTTCATGCAAACAATTCATCATTCTCTTGAACTGTTTGTTTTCTTTCCCAGTCACTTCTGCCCGAATTGGCTTCCTTTCCTTTCCCTGCTCTTCACTGTCCCCATTTTTCATTGAAAACTTTTTATTTTTTCTTGATATTTTCATTACATTTTTCATGACATTCACTCAACTGTGAAATTTGATGAATTTTCAAACTTTTCGTTTCATTTTCGAGATTAAAGTTTTTAGTCAAATTACAAACTTCCTTCTCTCGACTTAATCCTATTTAAATGAGTTTCAAAATAATTGAAATAATGACGATTTCATTATTACAACGTCGGATTACGCAATTTTGAGGCTTAAACATGTCATTTGACATTTTATTTATGAAAATGAAAGTAATCGCTCGAGAATACGACAACAAATAAATCACAAGTCGTGCTTAGAAAAGGTCATCGTTTATGCTTGAAAATGTCATCAGATAAGACGAGAAATTGTCCTCGAGATATTTTGTTTGAAATTAGTTGTTGGGTTTTGTTATTTCTGACTCGACAATGAATGTCTTTTATATGAAATGTGAGGGAAAAGTTGAAATTTTAAAGTCATGCTTCGGTCATAAAATGATATCGTCAGACATTCATATCATCTATGATAATTGCACGCATGAAAGTAACAGACATTTAATACGTTGTAATCATTTCTGATGCTTAAGGCTATTTTACCTTTTGAACATATATCAAGAGATAAGAATTTCTCGTTCTCTTTAAATGATATTGAAAAGCCACATCCTTAAATAGATTTAATGAATATTTATTTCAATGCTTTTCGTCTTCGCTCCTTCCACGTTTTCCTTCACTCAGTGATTTGTTATCGAGTATTCTACGGGAATAGATTGAATTAAAAGATACTTTGCCCGTATCATTCTGAAAATTGTTAGCAGCTTCCCCATCGAAAAATTGAGCTGTTCTTGTTGCAATAAAATGGCAAATATTCATAACATTTTCACCTCAACAACATATTGTCTGCTTTAGGTCAAAACGAAACGTTTCAAGTATCAAAAATATATTTTTTGTTGTAAATAAAATTTATTGCGCGACTATCGTCGATAAATTGGGCAATTTATTACCGAGTGGATTTCATGCTGTGTCGTTTTATGATTTATGCTTCGTTCACCTTGGGCAATAAGAGATTTTTCTAGTTTGAAGTTTGTTTTAAACAACAGCTTTTCATAACTATGTAGAAGAATATTTTCTGTATTTCTCCAACAAAAATCTTCAAAACAAACAATAAGGGAAAAATAACACAATTGATCCAATGAGAAGAAAACAAAATTCGATAGCTGTAAATTTTAATCCTATTTCGCGTCATTGATACTCCCGCAAGCTTGTTATTTCAATTCTCGAGGTTTCGAGGACGAACCAATGTCTATCGGAAGGGGAAAGAAGAAAAATATTCATGAAAATCTTTATCCGTTCAATTCAAACAACCGTAAAAAATTTCAACAAATCGTTTTTCGTGTTCCGTTCAATTTAAATTTTTTCCATAATCTCATCGAACTTTGGGCGAGGGAGAAATTTTTCTATGAAAGTAATTTTTCGCTCTGAATTTCATTGCAATTTGCAAATTATCCGGTGATGAAGACCAGAGAGAAGGTTTTGAATATTGATTTTCCTGCATCCATAAATTGAATGACTTTGGTGTAATAAAATGTTGGAAAAGCCGTTTTGGGGATTAACACTCGCATATTTTAATTATGAAAAATTCACATACATTTATGTTACATGATGATGCGTCATACATCAGAAATGGCTCGTTAAATAGACAATTTTGCATACGTTAAACATTCAACCCAACTGGATTCGAATTAATTGTTTTTTGACTGAAACATAAAATGTGTTTTTGCACCCACGCTTTCACTTCTTTACAGCAAAAAGGAAAATGAAAACAGTAGAAAAGTGAAAATGCCATAAATATTAATAAAACATAAAACACATTCATGAAATGAGTTTATGCTTTTTGTATCTGCTGGTAGTGCTAACCTTTTGGTTTTTCTCTTTTCATAATGTTTCCAGGATATTTTTGGTACTTTGAACCAGTTTTTATCACATGAAGTTACCGAAAATTACAAAACTCTCATATGAGAAATTCTCATGGGAAGAAAATAAATGGAAAATACTCATTGCTGATGTTATGAAAAGGTAGAAAATATAGTTTTGTGAACATTTTGATTTTAAATTTCTCTTTCACATTCAAAAATTTCATGTGGAAGTACGCGAATCTATTCAACCGTTAAAATCAAAATTCTGTACTAAAATTCAAATGTTTTTCTTCAACTTGCAACTAAGTTCACTTTGTTGTCAAATTTTTTTCTCGATGATTTGGAAATAAGCGTCCTAATCATTTTTTTAAACTGTTTGAAAGAATCTAAAGAGTAGTAAAGTCAACTAAGACTTAATATTATATGTCTAATGATTAATAATTGTTTTGGTAAGAAAATAGAACTGAATTTCGATGGAAATAGATTAATTTTTGCATTACAAATACAGATGGCATCAGCGGTCAAAAAAATGAAACCTGAAGAGAAAAGTTTGGCTGATTTAATAGATAAATTTGAGCTCATGATACAACATTTATCGGGTACTGATCTCATTAACCTTTCGGAAACTAGTAAAGAATGGTATAAAACCATAGCATACTCTCCCGAAGCAATACAAAAAATTCAGCTTGTCATCGATGAAGATTGGGGACACGAATTCGAGTTTGATGATGTGAAAGACAGTTATCGTGGCTACAGATCTATTAAAATAAAAAGTTTACTTCGACGTCGTTGTCAAGTATTACAAACAATAATACATTTCGGCGATCATCTTACTCATCTCTCAACATCATTCGATTTCCACATGGAAGGATACAAACTACCGATGCTGAAATTCTTAGAATTTCGTTTGTTGAACAACTCGCCAATGCTTGAGGATGGATTATTGAGTAGTGTCACAACCCTTACCAAATTAGAGGTTTCAGGCAGTGTAATTCTTCCCCAGTATGTTGTGGCATGTTTACATTCGAATCCAGATCTGGAAACTTTAATAATCGAATATTGCGTGGAAAAAGTTTTCAGCTTTATGTTTACTCCCATCAACATCAAATTGAAGACTTTGAAAGTTAATAAAGCATGCTTTAGCTTTCCTAATACCAACAAATTTCATGATTTCGTCATAAGTCAAGCTTCAACACTTGAGGAATTGAAAATTTTAAATTGCGAAGTCACATCACTTCGTTTGCTTTTAGATTCTTTAAACAATTTGAAGTGCCTTACTTTCAGTCCATGTAAAGGCATGGTTTATGATTGTTTACGATTCTCAACATATAGTCAACTTACGGATTTGAATTTAATTGGAGTAACAGCTCCAGTTCTCGATGTTCTGCTCTTAAGCTTTCCAAATCTTTATAAACTTTACATCGCTGATCCAACGATTCAAATGATTTCATCCACGTTTTTATTGTCTGAAGAACTTCGCGAATTTAATTATGCTTTCGTTAGAGGTGGCGATTATACAACAGCTGATATTTTGGAACTTTTTTTTAATGAAAAAGAAAGAAATCATCCAAAATTCAGTTACAAATTGCAATTCATTCAACAGATTTAAATTTAAGAATGAAGAATTTAATATGAAAATTATTTAAGCAACTTTGAAAACTTTGTATGTTCTCATAAATATATTTTCTGTTAAATAAATCTCATGTTATCATCTCATTCATTCTTCCTTTTTCTTCTTGAAACTCACAATAGCAATTGTATTAACATCTTTGATGATACCACAGAAATTCTAAAACTTTTCTATGTTCTTCTATGGGAAAGAAGTGAAAACATAAAGTTTCATCTTTCAGAAAGGTTCACAACACACAAGTTGAGTATCACTGTTGAACCGCAATCAAATAAACGAGCTTTAAATCCTCAAGATTTCTGTCGATGGAGAAAGAACGAAACTTTCATGTCTTTGTATGATAAAGAAAGAGAATTTAACTCCTGATTGTGCAACGACATACAAACAGTTAAGTCTTGTTAATGGAACGAGATAAAAAAGTTATAAATATCTTCGGATGACTTTAGAGATTGCGGATCATTGAATGAAGTAAACTGTGAATACGAAAATTGACGCAGTCAAAAGCGAGGGTGAAAGAAAAGAAAATGCTTCGTGTCACCACGTTTCGAAGCTTTTTTATTGTTGCAGATACTTATTTTGTGTGGAAATCATTTTTAAGGATTTTCCACATCACAAAAATAAATTGTTATCATGCTCTGATTGTCACGAGCAAGTATAAAGCGGAAAAGCCGTGAAAAAAGGGAATAAAGCATAATATAAAGCAAGCATGATGATGATAAACACATCTGAAGAAAGAATAAACAAACATGTTGAAACCTCAAACTAACGAGCTTTGTTTTTTTAATGACGAAACTCAACATCGTCTAATTAATTTCACTCTTTTCCTCAGCTACAATGTTGAACTTAAGAAGAAGAATGAAAGACATTGGCAGTTCTTTTGTCTTCCTGCATCTTCATCATCATCACCACATTCTTTCCTTTCTTTAATTGAGTGTATGATAAAAGCAAGTGAATGGATTAGTTGACGAGAAAAACAAGCGGAAATCATTCATTGTCGTCTTTTTCATAATGAAACAATTCTTTAACATTCCACCCACTCGTTTACCACCTCATCTTCTTCATGAAAGCTTTAACGTTTCTTTTTTTCCTGAGTGTCATAAAATTCACGAGCTCATGTCGAGCTATGAACATATCATAGCAGTAAAGGATCTGATGTGACATGGATTTTAATGTGCGGTAAATGTGATGATGCTGATGAAAAAGAGAAAATAAACTTTTTTCTTCTTTGTTGACCTAATTTTCATTTCATTACAACTTTTCTCATATTTCTCAGTTAGAAATTCTTCTTTTTTTCCTTGTTGCCGTCGTCACAATGACATGGTGAAAATCAATAGCGACAGTCGACAGACTTGTACAAATAAGTGCGAAAGAAAAAGTTTTCATTGATTGCGAGATGTTCACTTTTTTCCCATCTCTCATTCTATTTCGATTCGTGTTTTTCCGGGCAAATATTTTTTCTCTCAAGTGCTTCAAACATTCTAATAAGTCATGTATTATGTACAGTAAGCAGATGATGGTGGAGAAATTATAATTCCAACCACGAAAGGCAATAGTAGCGAAACGAATGTTTGTCGGAAGAATTTCTTACTATGCGTGATGAGAACTTTTCCCCTCTCATTTACTCTTGGGATAATAATAAACACCACACCAATAGGAAATAATAATAAAGTTGGCAGCAGTAAAAAGCGAAAGTTTGTCGGTTGTGAAAATCTAAATCATTGACGTTATTCATTCGAATGTCATACAAAGGATGAAAGGAAATTTGTTGGTTTGACAGCTCATGAAATTATGATAACAACACATTTCTATGAATTTTCTCATTCGTCGCAAAATTCTCCCGAAAGAAAAAAAGCTTTGCGAGTAATGCATGCAAAAAATATTTGCGGGGAAGTCGAAGTTAGTGCTTGGAATAAAATAAATATTACGAGAAAGCATATTTTACTTTACGACAACTTTCGAAATCGCACGAAAGAAGGAAAATGTTGAGAACACGTGTACATTGAGCTAATGTTAGGCCTCGTAGCTTCAGCTATAACAAAATTTCGACTGTAGACATGATAAATGGCGAACACATTTTTCCTCTCGTCGTGGGGCTTCTTTTTCTTCTGTTCTTTCTTCTTATCCTTCCATTCGTCTTTCTGCCTCACAAAAAGAAGAAAAAAAGGAAAAATTTCGTATTCAAATCACATGAAAAACTTTCTTTTTATTTCAAATATTTTCTCTTGACTGCTGCTACTGCTGCTCTTTCTTGTATATTGTCGTGTACACATTTTGAGGATAAAGCAAACGAGAGCAGTTTTTTTTCTTCTTTTTCTTCGTCATTTCTTGTCTTGCTTTTCTCTATTGTCGATCAAAGAAGGGAAGTTGGGGCTGTGTACAATTTTCCGTCAGTTTTCTCAGCAATTTTTTCATCTTCTTTTCCTGCTCAAAAGAAATCTCATTTAAATGAATTATGGACTGCGGTCGAATGTCGTTCGATTTCAATCTGTCAACTTTCTTTCGTATAATTGAGGGTTTGTTTGTCAGTCAATGAGGTTAAATTAGATCTCATTTGATAAACATGAATGGAGATAGCAAATGATGATTTGAGAGCCTATTCAAATTCTTTTTATTTTCAAAGTTTCCGCTAGATATTTGTTCGACATTATCCACGTCTTCGAAAGTGAAGGAAATAAGGAAAGAAAAGAAGAATCCTAATCAATAAAAGAAGTTTCATCATGTGATGTGGGAAACAACAGCCGGAAAATCACGTAGCAGACTGTTCAGCAAATTGTTTTTTCCTTTTTATTTCTCATGTTCATCTTTTGCTTTCTTAAATATTTCCCATTTTTCATTTCACTTCTTCGTCTCATATCGAAAAGGAATTAAAAGAGAATTTTTACTTAGATATCTTTAAAAAGTTCCATTTCATGAAAAGAATTTCTACAATTAAAAGAAGAATAAAAAAAAGTTCTCTGAGCAAGAAATTCTTGCAAATTGTTTAATAATTGTGATTAATTGATAACAGACAACAGACAAGATGAATCAAAAATTCTTTTTTTCTATCTTCAGATGTTGTTTCAGGCATGTCATTATCCTTGATGTTAAACAGACTTACAAACTCGAATCGAGTTTTCTTTGTGGAAATATTTAAATGCAACTCTTCAAAGTTTAGAAAGAGCTTTGCATAATTTTCAGAAATAAAACGGAGAACGACTCGTTTTGAACGAGTCATGTGGAAACGAGCTTTAGAGAGCTCAAGCAAATTTCTATAAATGATAGATGAAGATGTTTATGTTTTATAATATTCTGCTCGAGGAACATTCAACAAGATATAACAAAGAGCTCAACCAGAGTCAAATGATACATGTCCGAATGTTGGATAAAGACACAAATCTCAGCTTAAACATACATTGTAACCGCTTAAATGAATAATGACCTTTGCTCCAACACATCTCGATTGCAAGTTCAAAGCTTCTTCTCATATTAAAAATTTATTCAACCAAACCAATAGCTTCAATGCTTACTTAAAAAACAGAAGAATAAAAACAACATGAAGTATTTACCTACGTGGTAATAAAAATATAAAAGATTCAATTTTCCTTCCTTTTTGAAGGCCTCGGAAAAGAAAATTCAGATGGATTATTTTTCCCGCTTCCTTTTTTCCAAACTTCACTCAAAAAAAGATTGCAGACAACAAGAAGAAAAGCTTTAAATCCGAAAGGAAAATTTCATTTATCTCAACAAAGTTTTATATTCTGTTTTTTAATACTAACTGAGAGAATGAGGAAATGTTTTTGTTAAATTTTCTTTACGAAAATTCTTTCGTTCGTCGAGATGAAGATTTCTTGAAAAAACACCAGCATGAGAGATACTTATGTGCGGCTAGAGGGGAAAGTCAAATATAACGAGGGTTAAGTTTTCTTCTTTCACTCATTCAAATCAAGATGAAATCAAATAAAAGCATGTGAAACTACTCCTATGTAGATAGTAAAAAGAAGCTTCCATGTGATGAATGTAAGAATTTTGAACAATGAACATGAAAATGGAACAATGAGAAGGCGATTAGAGTTTTTTTTGTGGCTATTTCCTGGTTCATTATGAAGTTTTGTTCAGGATTTCCTTTCTTCTTCATTATCATAAGATCATTAAAAATAGCTTTAATTACTCAACTGTTATAACATTTATCACGTACCGGTACAGAAAATATTTAACCATTCCCAGAGTGATTAAAAAAAAATTCCAACAATTGTCATTGAGCTTGATTGATGGAAAGTCGGAAAATTTTCTAAATCGATTTTTCCGTTTGTTCACTGAAATATCTCAAATAATTTACTTCTGTAAGTCATGCAATGTCGCTTGATATTGATTCTGTTGCAAGTAATTTGATGGTTGAATGATTCATTTGACTCTTTAGATTTTCAAAACAATTCTCTATCAAAAATGACAAATATTAAACACTTAAATACATTAACAAGTTTTCATGCCTTATCTTGAATCAGATAAGAAAATAATTACAAAAAATGAAATTTAAGCTTCTCATCAGTTTTAATCAAGACATTGTTCAACAATGCATAGTGGAATAATATTTTTAAGTTTAATTACTTTATCTTTTGGAGCTTCGATTGCAAATAATAATTCTGAGAGAAATGTTCGAATTGTTGGTGGTGAAAAAGCAATTGAAGGTCAATTTCCTTACATGGTTTCATTAAGACCTTCCTATACCAGACATGAACATGGATGTGGTGGTTTCATTATAAGTTCAAGATGGATTGGATCTGTTGCCCATTGCATGATTAATCCGATAGCAAAACTTTTGACTTTAGCTGTTGTTGGAACTGTAAGAACAAGTGTCGGTGGAACATTTTATAGATTTGCGATGTGGTTCAACCATCCGGAATATAATATTTTCGAGAGGAAAAATGATATTGGCGTTGGTCGAACACGATCAACAATAACTTTCACTCCATTGATTCAACCAATACCACTAGGGTCAGATTTTGTGGGTGCAGGTGTTAAAGCCGTCATTTCTGGTTGGGGAACTTTAGATGAACCTTTGCCAATTGGTCAGTTCGCTGAAGATCTTCATTGGGTGACATTAACAACAATCACAAATGAAGATTGCATAAATTTAATGATTCCTGAAGAGCGACATCGAATCTATGATGAGAATATTTGTACGTATGATGGTCCAGGGATCGGTGCATGTAATGGTGGTAAGAAGAATTTTAAGTTGATTTGAATATTGAGTAAGAAATTTGAATTGAAGATTCTGGTTCTCCATTAACTGCAAATGGTTTTGTGATTGGCGCGGTATCTTGGGCACTTCCATGTGCTCGTGGAACATCTGAAGTTTATCCAAGAATTTCATCATATCGACCTTGGATAATGAGTTTGATATCAAGAGACGAATAAGGAAGAATCACAATTTATCTTCACTCAAAATTTGTCAGAAATTCAATGGTAGATATTTGTGTAAACAACGACATAATGATTTCAATTTGTTACTCATTTCATTATAAACATCAACACAATAAAATTACAAATTAACTTTCATTAAAACATAAAATTTATTTACTTGCAAAAAGCATCAGCTTAAGTACTAAATCTCAATTTAAGACATCGGGAAAGAAAGAAAGAAAATGGAGAAAAATGTTGAAAATTCTAAAACGAGTCTAGACGTTGATAAATGTGTTAAACAATGAGAAAATTGTCGAGAGAAATGGTTTTCCTTCTCGCAAACATTATCATTTAAATCTTTTTAGAATTAAGTGTTTTGTATCCTAATTAACAAAATGGATTTTCATTGAAGCGAGCTCCTAACTTACTTAATCAGTTTTAAGGGAAAAGGATATTAAAAATATCTTCAAGTCGTGTGGGGGAGGAAAGAATAAAAGAAAGAATAAAATGAATCTTATAAGTATGCTTTCTAAAATTATCTATGCTTCTTTTGAGTCTTAAAAAATTCGCATTGTTTTGCGATTTATGCTTATGGTGGCAATTTTCTCTTGGATTTTCCTTTTTTATTCTTTTTTGTTTTATGTTCATCTGAAGTATGATAATAATTTAAATTATTTGAGTTTCCTTTCTTATTCATTTAAGATTTTAAATCGCACACAATTCAGTGATGACATGGAGGGATTAAAGTGGATTGCAGCGGCATACACAGCATGATGGGAAAAGGAACCAATCCATAAAGATTCCTTTACAATCGTTATCAGGATCGTAAGCTAGTAAACGATGCCATTTGTATTTTTGTTCACAGCCGCACTCGCCAGCACAACGGTTCGTTTGCACTTTTCTGAATATTTGAAGAAGAAAAAAGTTTTTGATAAATATTAAACGACCTTCTTTAAATAATTTCTATTGGAATGAATTATTAACGTGCTTGGTTGATAACAACAAATATTCATGCTTAATCTTTCAATTATCAACACGATTTTATGTATTACCAACCAAAGCAGCCTAGATATTCAACAAAAGATAATTTTTTGGCAACTCGATAAATGAAAAGCAAAGAAAAAAAACTTACGAGCAAACTTCTTGATGAATTGCTTGCTCAAAATGTTGCGTATTGACAATGGCACGAATTTTTCCAGCCGAGCTTGATGCCCAATATGGTGTGACGATTTCAACTTTTGATTCACACGCATCAACACTGAAATTAAGTTTAAAATTTGAGTACGCATGATAAAAAGTTTTTGAATTTGATTTACCGTCCAGTGTCGCTTTTACCGCTTCCGGCATTCGAACGATTGCTGCTATTACTACTACTACTACTACTGGTTCTAGTCTGTCGCTTATTACGCAATTTACTAAAATATGAGTCACCCGTAGGGCCAGCATCACGCACCGGATTCGGTCCCTCGCCAGGTGGAAAGTAAATCTCATCCAAGTCAGGTAGGTTGGGCGGATTTGCATCAGCACCGTACAACATTCGTTTCCGTTTCTTTCCCTGTTGAAACGTTGATCCATATTCGTTTTCCGCCTCAAAATATCCATACATTCGCTTCATCAGCGCTTTATTCTCATCGATGAAATTCTCAATTCTGTCACTGTTTATACAAAAAACCATCGCATCATCGAAGAAAGATTTATTGAAGAAAAGAAAATTACAATAAATAAATATAAGAAAAATAAAATTTTCATAGGGAATTTGAATCCCGTAATAAAGACTGCGATTTAGAATTGTAATTGAGATAAGAATTCTTCATTGAATATGCTAATCAATTATTAAAATAAGATTTTGTTTTCTTGTTTTTCAACTCAATTACATTTTCGGGATCGTCGTAAGTAAACGCAAATATAAAGTAATTTAATATATCTCCGCAGTTTACCAAATAATAAGATCATATTTTATGATAAAAAAACTTGAATCATTGTAAGTTATTCACGGTTAAGATTTGAAATAGTAAAACTGGAATTTTTCTTGTTTACAATTACTTTTGTAATTTATTGAACTGAATTTAAATTCAATTTTTTACTTGAAGCTTCTCAAACTTTTATATTCGACGACGATAACGCGCAAACATTTGTCTTCATATAATGCGATGTTATTTCTTGTACATAATGCGCATATTTGATTTGTTCGCAATGTTAAAAGAGTTTCAACAGTTCATTACAAGAAAAGTTAACATTAACATTAATAAAATGTCATTTGGTTGTTCTAATCAAACTAGACTAACAGTTTAAATAAAACTTACAATCACTTCAT